TAATGCCCCGTGCTCAAGCAGCTGGCACCCTGTGGACTTGCAACAGCAAGTGAGTTTCTGTGCCTCTTGGCCCTGGCTCCAAAGTGACCTTGCAGGTGATCACTTGTCATCCCACATAAAGTTCTTGGCTCAGACAGGCATGCGGGTGGCCCATCGTTCATGGACACTGACACCAGCACCCATCTACCAACCACTGATACCCTCCCTTCTCTCAGGACTCTTAACAGCAGTGGGCTCCCAGAGTAGTGACAAGAACTTGGGATTCTGAGCAAGCTCTGGAAGGCAGCAGCCATGGGCTCCCCTTGCAGAACCCGCACCTGGCTGGACCTGGGGCCGCGTACCCGCAGCCTCCTCTTTCTCTGCCCACCTTAGCCACCTGGTCCCCGGCCCAAGAGCGGCGCGGCGGCTCTGCGTGGAGCCGGCCACGGCGGCCTCACCTGCTGTCCCTGCGGGCGCTGGCAACCGCGCGGTGGCGCCTGTTCGCTTTCGCGCCTCGCCCGCGCCCCGGGCTCCGCTGCGTCCACTGCGCCGCGCACCTCCACGCGAATGGGCCGCTGCGCCCGCCTTCTTGTTGGCTGCATCCCCGCCCCGCGCCCGCCCCGCGCCCGGCCCGGCCCGGCCCGGCGAGAAAGCCTTAATTGGTAATATCGACCGGGAGCCGGGGGTGCGGGGGGTGCGGGGGCGCGCCAAGAGCTCAGGCGCCCTGGCCGCCGGGCGACACCGCCCCTGGGATGAGCTCAGCGCTCTGCTAGGCCGCTGGCGCGGGGTGGGGGTTGGGGGCAGCGCCGCAGGGTCTGTGGGGCCACATCTAGGCGACCTCAAGGACACGGTATAGCCTTCTCTGGTTCTGTACAGACTGGGCCCCAAAGCCACCTCCCGCAGGGAGCCGCCCTGTATCATGACCTTCTGTCCATACCCTAAGCCCAGGCTGGCCACACTCAGCCCCCAGCCAGGGGCAACATTTGGTAGCACGGAGGGTGGACAAACAAACCTCCAGACTCCTTGAGGACATGGGCCCTCTCAGCACCACTACTGTAGCCTCAAAATCTGGGGGGTGCAGTGGGACCCAGCCACACCCAGGCACTGGCGAACTCCCTCTTCCTCATGCCCATTTCCTGATAGCTTCAGATTCAACTCAGATGTCACTTCCTATGGGGAGGCTACATATAGCAGCATCGTTTGTGTGCAAAACCAAATAGGAGCTACATTTTACACCCTGCGCGAGCGTGCACGTGCACGCGCGCGCGCACGCACACACACACACACACACACCTTCAAAACAACACTTTTCCCTATTCTGATATTGTCTAAAAAGAGAGAGGGGTGTAGTGGCATATGGCTGTCATCTCAGCTCAGAAGGCTGAAGCAGGAGGATCACTACTAGTTTGGGTTCACCTTGGACTACACAGTGAGACCTGTCTCAAAAAAAAAGAGCAAGGGGAGGGAAAAGAACAAAAGGAGAGGGGAAAGGATATAGAAGAATAGAGAGAAAAGTTAAGAGGAGTTTGGTGACAACAGCCAAATGACTTGGTAGACAATTTAACACGATGAGCAAGGTGCTTGGCGCCCCCGCACGGCTGCTGGCTTGTCTAGCTCTGCTGACATTTTGCACCCTCAATGGCCAGAGCAGCCTCCCATGGGAACTCTCCCTTGGTGAGGACAGGGGACAATCTGCACTTGTCACACCAGGGGGCCTATGAGGTGGCTGTGCTGAAGTTGAGCTAGGGGTAAACTAAGTTGCGGAGTACAGAAGAGGGTGTGGCTGTGTGGCTGAGCCCCTGGGCCCCACTGCATTTAAATTCTGCACACAATTGCCACCCACTGTGCATACTCTGAACACAGGCCATTCTGTGCTCCAACTTGTGCCAGGTCTAGTGGGAAGGGGGTTTTTGTCATACCAACTGTTTCCTACTGAAGATCTTTTAAAAAGACATCTTTTCTTTGTCTTGAAGAAGTGCCTTTTTTCTTTCTATAGTGTCTTGTTATGCAGTTGAAGCTGGCCTTGAACTCATTCTGTAGCCCAAACTGGCCTTGAATTCATAGTAACCCTCCTGCCTCAGCCTCCTGAGGCTGTGACAAGTGTGTTGCCACCATGCCTAACACGAAGTGTCTTCATGTAGATCTTTCTCCGAACTTCAGTCTTGTTGGGATGGCACGTTCTTCCACCCACAGCTTAGAAACCACTACCGTCCTTTAAGACTCACTTTTCATGGCCTGGTGGGATGGGGCATGCTTGTCATTCCAGCACTCAGGAGGCTAAGGCACGAGAATCACTGCTAGTTCCAGACCAGTCTGGGCTACAAAGTGAGTTCAAGGCCAGCCTGAGCTACACAGCAAGGAAAAAAAACCCAACAACCTCACTTTTCTTATTTTTGACTCAGAATTAGCCTCTGCCAGGCTCTTTCCCCCGGCTGCACCCCAATCCTACTCTGCTTGCCCTTCCCAGGAAAAACTCCCCAGGGGACCCCAGAATGCCCCTTTGGGGGGCTCCTGCCTGAGAGGTCTCTTTGCCCAACCAGAAGACAGTGCTGGCTGAGCCGCATTGCTTGGGGGCTTGGGGAGGAGCCTTGTCCATGGTGGACACAGCTCCCCTCTGGGTGATGGTGGGATGGTCTCAGGTCTAGTGAGCAAGGGCTGCTCTAGCTTCTGGTGCAGCATGGAGCTGCACTGCCATGAGGCCAGACTTAGGCTTTGGGTCCCATAGGATGGGCACAGGAGGGCCACCACAATTCAGCTTCACAGTGCCATCATCAAAGGACCATGCTGTGGGCACCAAGGCAGGGGACCCACAAGGCAGAGGCTGAGGCAGGTGTGTATGGGGAGCTCCCTTGGGAGAAGGCAGACCTAGAATTCCTTGACCTCATAAGGAAACGGCTGGGCTATGTACAGGGAGGGGTTCCTGCACACTCCACACACACACAGGCCTCTGGGAGAGGGGCCAGCTTGCAGAAGGGGGTGTGGAGAGGTGCTGGGGAGCTGGATTCTGCCCAAACTGCAAAGTCCATGAGGCAACTGCCCATGGCCTGGAGCCTACACTATCATCCCCCCCCCCCGCCATACAGTGTCTTCCAGGTCCCAGGCCTCCTTTCCAGTTGCTAGGGACACAGCAGGGTGTTGTCTTTAAAACCCAGTCAAGTGGGTGTGATGGTGCATGCTCATCATCCCAGCGCTATGGAGGCTGAGGCAGGAGGGAGGATCACTTCGTGTTCCAGGCCAGATGAGGCTACATAAGAGTTCAAGGCCAGCCTGAACTACATAGTGAGACTCTGTCCTGAACACCCTCCTCCCCGCAAAAAATAAAATAAAATCAGGTGTAGTGGCGCACATCTGCAATCCCAGCACTTGGGAGGTTGAGCCAGGAAGATCCCTGCAAGTTCGACATCAGCCTGGGAGCTACAAAAATGAACACAAGGCCAGCCCAAATTTCATAGTGCCACCTTGTCTCAAAAAAACCAAAACCAGGGCCTGAGGAGATAGCTCGGTAGAATAAGCGCATGCCTGGCAAGTGCAAGGTCCTGAGCTCAATCCCTGGTACTGGAGGGGGGGGGAAACCAAACCAAAACAACAATAATAACAATACTAAAGAAAACCTAGGATGGGGCTGGAGAGATGGCTCAGTGGTCTAAAGCACCTACTTGGAACAAGCTTAGCAAAAGCACAGGGACCCCGGTTCAGTCCCCAAGCACCACATGCCAGCCAGCCCCGCCCCCTGGTGGGCTGAGCTGGCCACACACACACACATAAGATTTTTAAAAAATTGGAAAAAAAAAAAAAAAAGACTGGTCTGGGACCCTTAGCAGCAGCAGCAGCCAGCGGGAGAGGGCGGGAGCCTTTGCTTCTTCTTCATTGTCACCAGGCATCACAGGCCCTGGTCTTTTCTTGCTTCACCCCGGCTCTGTGCGGGCACCCTAGCTGGCCTCACAGACCACCAGCTGGCTTTGTTTAGCACAGAACTGCGCGTGGAGACAGTTCTATCCCATCAAAGCTCTGTCAGCGACCATCAGCTAGTCATGGATCCTGAGCAAAGCTAGGCAACTTTCCGTGGTTCGCCACCGCACTCTGCACCCCTTTTGGCCACTACTTGGGTCCCTCGGCTTAGAGCCACTCCCCAGGAGAGGAAGCTCCCTGCGACCCTGTGCCCGCACATGTGCCCAGGAGCCTGAAGACGGCACTGGGTTGGGTGGCACCGCTGTCTGCCTGCACGCAGCACCGGATGCGCCGTGCCGTGCCAATGGCGGTGGTGGGCCCCAAAGTGCCATTGGTCTGCCAGCCTGGCGCCCCATTCGCTCCCGGAGGGGGGGCGGGGGCGCAGGGTAGGGGAGCCAGTGGGCTCAGATGCGCGTCGCGCGTTGAGCAGGTCGATAAGGCAGCTGGGGCCGCGTGAGGTCGGGGCTGGGCGACAGCCAGTGTCCTGATGCAGCGCACTGGGACCCGGCCCTTTCCACCGCTGCCCGCCGGGGTGCAGCCGGTAACTAGATCTGGACCCCGGGCGGGGCAGGGAAACGGGATGAAACCCAGTGCAGGGGCCGGGGAGATGGCTCAGTAGAATAAGCGCTTGCCTGGCAAGCGCAAAGGCCTCAGTTCAACTCCTGGTTCCGCCAAAAAAAAAAAAAAGAAAAGAAAAGAAAAAAAGAAACCCAGTGCAACAGGGACCCGCGCTACCTTCAACACTCAACCCAACGCGGCTACCTCCCTCCGGTTTGCACCGGTTCGAGTGGCGTCATCCCGCCCGCCTCCCCTGTGTAAACCTGACTCGCCAGGATGGCTCACCCAGCCCGCCCGCGCACTCTCCCGCTCTCCCGCTCCCACGCCTGGACCGGTCCTCACGCCCGGACGCCCCCCCCGCCCCGCCTCCCTCCGTCTGGCCAATCCCGCACAATCTTGACCGACGAGCTCTCTGGCCCCGCCTCCTGCGCTGCACCCGCCCCTCCCAGGCCCAGAGTGGTCTGGTCCCGCTGTTCCTGCCGATTGGCTACGCCCCACGCGGCGCGCGCAGCCTGAGCCCGCGGGCTTGACGCGGGCGCGACGCAGGAGTGACGCGAGCGCGACCGCTCCCGAAGCGCTGGCGCTGTCTGTACTGCGCTCTGAGGCAGCAGGTTGCTTGCCAGGCCCGGGCCGCCCCCAGGCCTTCTCCGCCTGCCTCCTGGTGGCCGCCATGGACGACTACTCGCTTCTGTCGGACACCGAGCTGGCCGCTGTGCTGCGCCAGTACAACATCCCGCACGGGCCTGTCGTGGGTATGCGGCAGCGGGTGGCACACGGGATGTCCCTGGGGACCCACGCCCCACCCCGTACCCCTGACCGCCCCGTGCTCCGTGTCTGCAGGCTCCACGCGCAAGCTCTACGAGAAGAAGATCTTCGAGTACGAGAGCCAGCGGCGGAGGCTGTCGCCCCCGGACTCCTCCACCTCTTCCTACCGGTTCTCAGGTGGGGCCCCGCCCCGCAGCGCCACACGCCACAGCTGTTCCGTTCGCAGGGCTGGGGCTGGGTCGGCGGGGAGGACGGGTCTTGAGGGCGTGGCGAGGTGTGGGGAGAAGGGAGGGAAGCCTGGGGCCAGATGCTCCTGTCCCCTTCTCTATTCAGACTTCGATTCGACATCTTCGGGTTCAGATATGTATGATCTGCCCAAGAAGGAGGACGCCCTACTTTACCAGAGCAAGGGTAAGTGCGGGTTGAGCCGAGTCACTGCCTCTGTGTGTGTGTGTGTGTGTGTGTGTGTTTTACATCGTCACTTAGTCCCATTAGAGACCCGTAGACGAGAACAGGAGACCCCTTATTGTTTAGCAGCCCTGATAGTGTTTACATTAGGGCCCCTGGACCAGGTGGGGAACACAGTCTTTTTCTGTGTCCCCTCCAAAGGCTACAATGATGACTACTATGAGGAGAGTTACCTGACCACCAGAACTTATGGGGAGCCTGAGGCCAAGGGTTTCCGCCACTCAGCCACATCCCTTTCTGATCCGGACACCTTCCATCACCAGGTGAGTGAGCTGTCAGTCACAGCCTGGGTGTGGCCTTCGGGGCTACAGGCGGATGTGGGGACATCCAAGCAGCTGCTAAGAGCACAGGGTAGCCCCTAAGCCCCCTGAGACCGTCAGGACAGAGTTCTTTGGCTGCAGCATGTCTTGAGGGTGATCAAAACTATGATTAGGGCCTAGGTAAGTAGCTCAATGGGCGAGCACTTCTCTACAGTTTGATGCCTAATATATTCCCCAAAAGAATCTAAGGAGAGGGCTGGGGAGATGGCTCAGTGGTCTAAAGCGCCTACTTAGAACAAGCTTAGCAAAGCACAGGGACCGCGGTTCAATCCCCCAGCACCACATGCCAGCCAGCCCTGCCCCCTGGTGGGCTGAGCTGGCCCACACACACACACACACACACACAAATAAATAAAATTAAAAAAAAAAGAATCTAAGGAGAAGCTGGGCATGGTGGCACACCCAGAAACAGGGTGGCACGTGCCTGTAATCCCAGCATCCAAGAGGCTGAGGCAGGAGGATCCTTGAGAGTTTAAGACCAGCCTGAGCTACATAGAGATTATCTTGCCCACCCCCCAAAAAGACAAATGTGATGAGAGCACACTGGGTGTGACCTTGGCTCTGCCTGGGATCTGGGGTCCTCTTCTTTTTGAAAATCCCTGGGGAGGAAGGAGGCATGGGCAGCTGGGCAGTTGCTGAGCGAGCACCAAGGCCCCAAAGATAACAGGTTGGGAGTTCCAGAGGAGGGAGGTGTCGGTCTGAGCAGGATCAGCACAGGCTTGATTTGGGGGAAGACAGGGACATCACTGCCTGACCCACTCCTGAGCAAGCTCTCCTGTAGGTGCGTGAGGACAGTGTCTTCTCTGAAGAGGATGGCAAGGACAGGTGAGCAGTGTGCAGGCCTGGCCTGGGGCAGACCCAGGGCTCAGTGCCCTGGCCTACCTGCCCCTTTGTTTTGCCACAGGGAGCGTACCGTCTATGGCCGGGACAGCACCTACCAGAGCATCGCACACTACCGTCCTGCTTCCAGCGTCTCCAGGGGCTCCTTGGGTCTGTCCTACTACCCAGGGTCTCTCACCTCTTCTGGGTCCTCGGCCTCTGCCCAGCCTTCATGGCTCACCCGCCGGGCTATCCGGCCTGAAAAGTCGGCCTCTTCAGCAATGGCAGCAGCCACCCAGGAGCGCCAGGTCCCACTCTGGGGCCAGCTGCTGCTCTTCCTGGTGTTCGCTGCCTTCCTGCTCTTCGTTTACTACTCGATGCAGGCTGAGGAAGGCAGCCCCTTCTCGATGGCCCCCTGAGTGTCCTTCTTGGAGCCCAGCTGCCGCCTTGCAGTATACTGGGGGTGGGGGGTGTTGCTGTGTGTTCTAGTGTGGGGTGCTGGGCTCGCCCAGAGCAGTACCCACCCCACCTGCCCCTGCCCTTCTCCGGAGCCTCCCAGCCCCACTTGCCTCTGAGCCTTGGAACCAGGGCAAGACCTTGTCCTTCCGAGGGGAACATGGTTGTTGTTCTGCATGCCACCTCTTGTTCGTTGTCACCTGTCGTGGGAGTAAGCAAAGGGTGCCCTGACACTGTTTTCATGGATACACAATAAAAGACCGTTTATTTTTACCACGTCGGCACTTGTCTCTGGCTCCTGCACTCACCTGGTGATGACCGGTTTCCTAGGTTTCAGGGCCACTATGTGGCTCCTGCCAAGTTGGGTCTGCATTTTGCTTTCGTCTTGGGAAAGGGAGCAGATGTTACCAACAGATGTGTTCCTCTTTCATTTGTAGACTTTATTTTGCAACTTATTTCTCAGGGCACTTGTGACTACTTACAGACATGACTACCATATGACAAAGCATGAGGACAGCCAATTTGGGAACATGGGTAAGGCTGTGTGGACAGTATTGACCATAGGTTATCTTTACCAGGGAGCTGACACCAGCTAGCTTCACACTGGAAGGCACAGGGGTGGATGGGAAATGATGCCCAAGACATTGGCTCAGGCTCCTGTAACCCCAGCACTCCTGGAAGGTGAGGCAGGAGCATTGCAAGTTTGAGCCCAAAGCTTTGCGCAGCGGCAGTATCGTAGCCAATGAGGTTTATCCAAGGTGCGATTATTGCTAATTCAAAACTTTTCCCAATACCCTGCCATGACGACTTGAAATATAGTCGGCATTGGCAATTTTTGACAGTCTCTACGGAGACAATTAAAAAAGAAAAAAGTTTGAGCCCATCCTGGGAAATTCAGAAATTTAGTAAGACCCTGTCTCTAGATTGAACAAAAAAAGGGCCGTCCTGATAGCTCAGTGGACTAAAGTCCCTGCTTAGGCAGAGCGCAGCAGCTAGGGTTTGATCCCCAGTGTGCTGTGCCAGCCCCACCTCCAGGGTACACAGTTGAGACTGGGCGTGGTGGTGCGCACCTGTAATGCCAGCACTTGGGAGGCTGAAAATAGGAGAATCACTATGCGTCCGATCTATGTAGTGAGACCCTTTAGGCCCTGTCTACAGGATACAGAAAAATACAGGAAAAAAAAATTAACAAGAAGAACTATGGGCCGGACGTGATAGCCCACACCTATAACCCCATTACTCAGGAGCCTGGAGCAGGGTCACTGAGTTGGAGGCCAGCTACATAGTTCATGGCCAGCTTGGAGTACATACTGAGACCCTGTCTCCAAAGAACAAAAAAGAGGCATCCAGCTGGACAAGGTGGCGCATGCCTGTGATCCCAGCCCGCACTTGGGAGGCTGAGGCAGGAGGATCTCTGCAAGTTCAAGATCAGCTTGGGCTACAAAGGGAGCTCAAGGCCAGCCTGAGCTGCACAGTGAGACCCTAAAAAAAAAAAAAGGACTATTAAAAAGAATAAAGATGTATCCTAGTGACTGGTCATCCCTCAACACCACAGGGGCAGGTATAGGGGCAGGTGCACATGCCCAGTGGGTAGATGACAAACAGCTACAGCCAGGGCTCAGGCCCAGTTTAATCCTCTGGCCTACGACTTGCTCCTTGTTGCTGGTAGCCACCCTCTGCCCAGCCTCATGTAGTGTCTATACACAAACCCTATGCTCCTGAGGAATGAGCCAGGCTCATGGCTGTTGAAGGCCTCCAAGTCTGATGGGAAAGAGACTCCTTCCCTGTGTCCTGATCCAGAAGTAACGGGGGTCCTGCACATTAATAATACAGAGATGAGGGACTGCTGTGGGGTGTGGCCTATTCCTTGCTTCATGCCCCAGCACCAAAGCAGGCCAGGCAGACAGGAAGCAACCACTTCTTTCCTGAGCGCTGCCTTGGCATCAGCCTCCTGTGAGTGCTGTACGCCCACTCAGCCCCCTCCCCCAGTGCATGCCGCACAGACCCTGGACTGCTCCCTCTTGCTGCCCTGGTTACTCCAGGCCATGCACCATGGAGTGGCACTGCAGCAGGGCTGAGGTCCACTAGGTCCTCCAGGAGTTCTGGAGATGCTACCACCCCAGAAGGCTCCAGTAAGACTTGGGCAAGCATTCCAGTCCTCACCAGGACCTCAGAGGGACACAGTGACAGCTTCCTGCTCAGTAGGTGGTCAGAAGTAGGGATGCTGAGAGGAGGGGCTGGATTGCTGGGGGATAGGCCTGAGGGGACCAGCAGGGAAGCAAGGACCCTAGAAGAAGCCCTGCTGGCCTGGGGAGGTGGCCATGCCAAGGATGGGCTTTGGGACTGAATGACCCCAAGTCTCAGGCCCTGGGATCTGCTACCACTGGGGAGGGCAAAGCAGATGGCTGCGTGTGTGTGGCAGCCACTCTGCTGTCTGGCAGGAAAGAGGAGAGGAAAGCACCTAAGGGTCACAGGGTCCTTCTTTCTCATTTTTAACTGCACAAGGTACCCAGGTCTCTTTCAGGCCATACAGCAGACAAGATGGCTGAGGTTTCACTAGACTACACTGTGACCACCTGCCTAAGCTTGTGAACCTAGCACCTGGTCTAGCCCCAGGCCCCAGGGATCCCAAGGCTGTCCCAACACAATCCAATCCTTAGGGCTCCAAAGCACCCTAGGTTGTGTGTGTGTGTGTGTGTGTGTGTGTGTGTGTGTGTGTGTGTGTGTGACCAGGGATTGAACTCGGACTTTGCACTTGCCAGGCAAGCGCTTATTCTACTGAGCCATCTCCCTGGTCCTCAACCTAGGGTCTTGGAACACTCAATGCCAGGGACCCTGAGGAGACACCACCAAGCCTCCCCCAGGTCCGAGGGGCTCAGGAGGCTTCTGCATTCACCTGTGGGGTTCTGTGGGCTCTAGGACTCCCAACTGCCAGTTTCCCTCCCTAGAGGAAACAGCTAGCAGGGTTTCAGTAAGACTGTGCTGCGCACCTTCCATATCCCACAGTGCTTACCTTCAGTTCCCCAGAGGGCAACTTGGTGCTGGGAGGCCGCCACCCCCACATACTTGCTTCTATACTGGATGCTGTTAGGATAGCACATAGGAAGGAGACCCTGGAAGGTTCTACACTTTTGCCTACTTATTCCAAGCCTTATGTCCTGTCCTGGCCATGGCATATGGCAGGGACGCATCCGTGCCTGGCATGTGCTGCCAACCCACCAGGAAGGGGCCCAAAAGGCTCAAAGCCCGGAGTCCCTGCGTCATGGCCAAAGGGGCAGGACAGAAGGCACCACAGGAGAGGAGGAGCAGGTCCCAGGGACACTGGTGACATGGCAGGCCACTCGGCCCAAGCCCGAAGGGTGGAGGCCCAGCCCCCAGCCCCACTACACCCCAAGTGCCAGGATAGGGGCTTGGGACACAGGCCCTTCCAAGGACAGGCCAGATACATGACCCCGCCCAGACTGGGCATGGGACCACAAGCCAGCGGCCTCCTGCACGTGATGAGCAAGCCCCAGGGGCTGCACACTGGGACCTGGCTGGGCACAGGCCCCAGCTGAGCACCCCTCAGCCCCGACAGGCAGCCGCGGTCCGGCCCGCAGTTTCCTCCACCTCCCAGAAGCCCATCCCCTGGAGATGCCAGGGACGCCAGCGGATGGGTTCCCCTCAGCAGACCTGCCAGCTCTTCTACAGCAGTGGGACACACGTGGCCAGGGGTCTCTCGAGGTCCAGCCGGTGAGCCCTAGGCAAGGGGGCAGGCGGGACAGAACAGAGAGGCCCCTGGGGTCAGGGAGCTCTGCCAAGCTCCCCAGGAACAGGCAGCCAGAGAGGCCTCAGGCTTCTGGGAGGGGTGGGGACCCACAAGCCCAAGGGATGGGACAGGGCCCCGCTGAGGAGCAGAAAGCCCCATGGGGTGAGCAGGGCCAGCCAGGTGCCAAGACGAAAGAGGACACCAACTCCAGGCAGGGCCACGCAGGACTCTGAGAGATGGGGCAGCACAGCCCAGGTCCCCGAGGCACCCTGCCCTCCCCTCAGACCGGTGTGTGGCCTCTGTGGACAGGACAGCCAGGACAGCGGATGCAGGGGCAGGACCTCCAGACCACAGAGGCCGCTGACCCAAAGCAGGCAACACTGGACAAATGGGCGGCGCCTTGCTGCAAGGGCGCACCCAGAGAGGAGTTCCGGTGCCCCCAATCCCAGGTCCACCCGTGGCAGAAGGGGGGCCCGGAACAGGAGCAGAGGCTCCTGACTGGAAGGCCGGCCTGCAGCCTAGGCAACATCTGGCACGGGACACACTGGGGCGGCTGCTGGCACCCCCAGCTCTGGGACCCTGGGAGGGCGGTGGGCCCGCAGAGCCGGGAGGGCAGCTGCTAGGTGAGGGCTGTGTGGGGTCCAGCGGGACGGGGCTTTGAGGTGGGCACCGTGCCCACCCACCTGCAGAGCAGTTTGCAGGGTGGGCAGGGCGGGTGCAGGGGGGCAAGGTACTGGGCAGCTGGGAGGGGGTGCAGCTCCCACCAGGTCCCCAGAGAGCATGGCAGGCAGAGGAAGATGAGGCCCTTCCCACTCCTCACCCAGATCCCCAGGGATGACAGGGTGGGAGGGGAGTGGGACATGGAGGGCGCCTGTGGCCCACGAGTGTGCTGGCACACTGAACTGCAGTGTCTGGAGGAGCCCAGGGCCCTTGGGCTGACACCCTGGCCGAGGGACCGTCCCTGTCACTTTGGTCCCATCGGGAGGGGAAGCCGCAGCCACCGCACCCCACTCCCCACGCGGCTTTGACGTGGGCAAAGCTGTTCAGAGAGTGGCCGGGAGCTGTCAGCTGGGGCCAGGGGTGCCCGGTGGTGACAGCCAGCAGGAAAAGCACCCACCAGCCACAGAAACTTCGTGACCAACTCTGAGCCACCCAGAGCGTCACCCCTGGAAGGTCCCCTGCCAGGAAGCAGCAGGCAGGAAGGAGGTGGCAGCCACCAGGGCAAGGGAACAGAAAGAGCTTCTTTGGGCCCAGAGGGGAACCGCTGCCCTGTGCCACCTTGACCCAGCCTCCCCACACCCCAGGCCCAGGACACCAGAGTCCAGGACCCAGACTCCTGCCAGCATCTCAGGATAAGAGGGGCTGGGTGCCCGGGGCCAGGACCCCCTCTCACCCGAGGGCCAGAGCGCAGGGGCGGGTGGGGGCTGACTCCCTGGCGTGTCCAGCTCCGACCTGAGATTAGGGAGCAGGACAGCAGTGCACCCGCACCAAGGAGAGCTGCGGGGTCTGGGAGGCAGCGGCAAGG